GAGCATTTTATTTGTAAATTCTGTATAAAGTCTGCTTTACATGGCACACCTTATAAAACATGCCATAAAAGAAGGCAAGGTGAGCATGTATTAAGTTGGACATGTTCTTCCCTCACACAGAGGGTCATGCCCTGCTGCGTGGGCCCAGAAGCAGGGCAGTGGCACCCGAGGATCATGGAGGTGGAGGGACAGTGCTGCATTGGCAGGGAAGGGCTATAGACATTAAATACCAGCAAGTCTTCCCCAAACAGAAGGATACAAGGCCTGCCGTCGTCCCAGGAGCTATACACCAGTAAAGGGGGATTTTTTTTTTAGCCTGGCATCTACTTAGTAGGTTGCCATTTTTCCCAAAAGACCTTTGCAAATTTTTTCCTTCTTCTCTGTGAGTTGGTCGGCTTCCCAGTCAAGCCTCAGTTTCCCTCCCTGGTCGCTTGGTTTTGCCCCAGGCTTCCTGTGTGGCCTGTTGCCAGGGCCTTGTCAGCTCTGTGGGGTTTATTATGGGTGTTCTGAGGTCATCCTAGCTGCGCTGTAGGAATGCTGTGACGGGAATGATGGAATTCAGCATAAACCTCAATTTTCCCTCACCCAAAATAGAAACTTCTTAATGCAAATACCCTCTAACTGCTTGGAGCCAGAGGAGGCAAATGCAGGTTAAAGAGATTCATTTATGGCTTTTATGGTGTGGGTGGAAGAAATGCAAAACATCTAAAGCTTTGAATTGACTAAAGCATTTCATTTCTTTGTTAGCTTCTAGTTTCATTTTACTGTTTTGAGTGCAACGTTTAGTATGCTTTTCAAGAGTTCTAATGAGACTTTGCTGTGGGCACTGCTGTCTCCAAATCAAACAAGAATCAAGAATGTACTTGTCTCCCAAACGACAAGCAATGGACAAGTAGGAGGGTCCCCCCTGCCCCCCCCACACCTTTTTGTTTGATTTACTTTGAATATCTGTGTATTTTTTATTAGTGCATTACAGTTATACATAATTGTGGGGTTCATTTTGACATATTCATAAATGTATATGTTGGACTTCACTGTATTTCAGTCCTCACAACCACCGCCTCCCCAGCTCTCTTTCCTCTCCCTGATCCCCTTCCCCTACTTCTATTGTTCTTCCTCGAGGTTTTTAATTGGTACATTATAGTTACACATAAAAGTGGGATTCGTGTGATATATTCTTACATGCACATGGGGTGGTTCAGTAAATTTCATTCCAGTTCCTCCCCTTCCCCTCTCTGCCTCCCTCCCCGTAGGTATCCCTCCTCTGCTCCATTGTTCTCCTTCTATTTTTCATGTGATCTCTCTTTTCTTTTAATTCCTTATTTCTAACTTCCATAAATGAAAGAAAACATATGACCTTTGACTTTCTGAGTCTGGCTTATTTCACTCAGCATAACAACAAATGGCACAATTTCATTCTTACTTATGGCTGAGTAAAATTCCATTGTGTCTCTCTATATATATGTACCATATTTTCTGTATCCATTCACCTACTGAGGCACACTTGGACTAGTTCTGTAAATTGGCTATTGTGAATTATACTGCTTTAAACATTGGTATATACGTGTTGCCATAGTATGCTGATTTTAATTCCTTAGGATAAATATTAAGAAGTGAGATATCTGGGTCATATGGTGGTTCCATTCTTGTTCTTTTGAGAAATCTCCATACTGCTTTTCAGAGATTACTATTAGTATTAGCAGAACCACCAACAATGCATGAATGTGCCTGTCCTCCACTCCACATATTCTCCAGCACTTATTGCTATTTGTATTGTTGATGATTGCCATTCTAACTGCAGAAAGATCTCAGTGTAGTTTTGATCTGCATTTCCCTGATTGCTAAGGGTGTTGAACATTTTTTCATATGTGTGTTGGTCATTTGCATTTTTTTTTGAGAAATGTCTGTTTATTTGCCCAGTTGATTTTCTTTTTGTGTGTGGGTTAAGTTACTTTTGTTTCTAAAGGTTTTTTGTTTGTTTGATTTGCTTTGTTTTTTGCTTGTTTATTTTTGGTGCTAAGTTTTTTGAGTTCTTTATGTATGCTGGATATTAATCCTGTCAAAAGAGAGTAGCTGGCATAGATTTTTTCCCTTCTGTAGGTTCTACATGCTGTTGCTTCCTTTGCTGTGCAGAAGTTTTAATTTGATGCCATCCTACTTATTCATTCTTGGTTTTATTTCTTGACTTTATGGGTTTTATTAAGGAAGTTGGTACCTACTCCAACGTGTTGGAGTGTTGACTCTGTGTTTTCTTTTAGCAGTTGCAGTGTTTCTGGTCTAATCCCTAGGTCTTTGATCCACTTTCAGTTGATTTTGGTGCTGGGTGAGAGACAGAAATCTCGTTTCCTTCTTCTACATCTGGATATCTAGTTTTCCCAGCACCATTTGTTAAAAAGGCTGTCTTTTCTCCAACATGTGTTTTTGGCATCTCTGTCAAGGATCAGATAAGGGTCTGATGGCTGTGTCCGTGTGGATTTCCTCTGTCTTCTGCTCTGTTCCATTGCTCGTCACGTCTGCTTAAGTGGCAGTACCTTGCTGTTTTTGTTACTGTAACTCTGTAGTGTAGTTTGAGGTCAGGTATTGTGATACTACCTGTATCACTCTTATTAAATCTACCTATGCTTCTCTCCTTGCAGCCAAGGAGACCTCAGGTAGCAGTTCCTAGGGGTCTCTCTTCTAGTCTAGGGCCCTGACATGTTTTGTGACCCAGTTATTTTATTTTTGCCAGAAACTTCCATTCCAGCCTCCTTACAAAATGGTAGGTATTATCTTGACCTGCTCCTATTCCGATCTAAAAATGTAAGTGCTCAGGTTTGATTCCATGGAACTGGTCAGTTCAAAGGCAGGTACAGAATTATGTCTTGCTAGGCTTTGGGGGCAGCCTGGTGGAAGACCTATCATTTCTATGAGCAAAAACAGTTGAACAATCTTTACATACCTCACTTCTTTTTGTTCCTCATTCATATGAAATTAAAACAGTGAATTACAGTGCACCAGTTGTCTCAAATGGACAGAAGTGTTCCAGTTTTGCCCACAAAACCAAATTTGTGTCATGGTTTTTTAAAGAAAAGAGGAGGACAATGGAATGAGTGTTCTCCTGCTCCTCTGTTCACCTTTTAATGCTCTTTACCAAAGTGGACTCCAGGAGAGAGAAAAGAAGGCAGAGTGGGACCACAGGGAGGGCACTTTTCTGAGCTCTGGAGCAGTGCTGTGTCCTCTGTCTCCACATCCCTTTCCCTCAGTCCCCCCACATACACCACCACCCACCAGTGCACACCACAACCCTGACTCCAGGCAGATGCCTCCAGGTCCCCTGGGCAGGTCCCTGCCGTCACACAGCGCTGTCCTGACTGAGCACTTCCTCCTTGGTGTTGACGCACACTACTGTTCAGTGTTCCAGGCTTTTTAGAATAAATGTATTTGGGTATTTTCAGGTTGGGAGCTATGGGTAATTTGGCAACGCAAACACTGTAACTGGCTTCTTATGTAACCCTGCGGTTGGCAGTGAGGTTCAGTGCATTGAAATGAAGCAATGCTCACTCGCTCATCCAAAGATGACTTTTCCTTTTTTAGGAGAGATAAATGTGCTGCTTTGTTTTTTCCTGTTGCATACATTGTTTTTAATTATTGGCTGACTTTAATGATACTTGCTTTGAAGTTAATTTTTAAATATGAATGGGAAGGTCTATTTAACTTTTGGAAGTTGAAGCACTGGTCCTGTGTGTCCCTAACCTAGAGAACACTTAAATAACTTGAATGCTTTCAGGTGATAATGAAACTGGGGAGAGGAGGAGGGACCCAGGACCAGACAGCATAGGAATCCAAACTGGTAAAGTGCTTAGAAGTTAGAGTTGCGACCTTTTGAAAAAACTGGAATCAGCCTTCCATCCCAAGGTGCTCCAGCCTGGGCATCTCATGAACAAGAGGTCCCCTATACTAGCTTTTCAATTATAGTGTATATTCTTTCCATTTTTTCTTTCTTTCCTAAATAAAAAAAAAATAGTCTGAGTCTCTAAGCAGACCTCCTTATTTTATTTTATTTTTCTCAGTTTCAGAGGCTAGATTCTCTAAAATATTTTGGGTTTGGTTTTTCATGGCGCTGGGAATGGAACCCAGGACCTGAGGCAGGCTCTCTACTACTGAGCCCCACCCTCAGCCCTCTGAAATGTTTTTGTATCTTTGCCTGAATTCAGTAGCCATTAGAAAATGAGCCAAGTGTTGTACCCCCTATTTCTCAAGACTACAATAATAAAGTTTTCAAATGAAAACTCTTAAGATTGTTTAGTATCTCTTCCCACCATATTCCTGTAGAACACAAGTGGGAATTGGGACATTCATCCAATAAAGTTCAATTGGAAAAAACAAAAACCAAAGGGAAACACTACATTTCAAAATAAGTCCCACTTTTTTCTTTAAAAGCAGAGTTCATTGACCAAGACAGATTTCAAAATGTTTTCTCTAAGGCCCTAGCTGAAACACTGATTGAGGCTGTCAGGAAATTACAGGGATCAAGCAACTCATCAAGACTTGGGTTTCGAGGTCTCCCAAAGCCTCGAAGTGGCCCTGGAGGCTAATTGCTGTTTACTGCAGTGGACCTTCGTCCTTGTTCTTCTGTAACATTTTCCATCTTAAGAAGGGCCGTCCCATTCAGCCGCGGAGCATGCCGTCTGAGTGGCTGAATGGAATTACTACCAGTGGAAACTATGCTGCGAGAGGGTGGACAGGGCAGCTGGGAAGCAACCTCAGCTGGTTTTCCATCCTCCGGAGCAGAGTTAATTAGCATAGGGAAAATGACTAAGGTGTTGACGTCACCTCTTTCCAGTAGAAACTTACACTTTGTCCCTGTCTGCCTGCGAGCATGCAGGACTTGACTCAGGAATTTGCTGGCCAAACAGGATGCTCTGGACGCTGGGCTTTTTTTTTTTTCTTTCCCGGGGGCCTGGCCCTCCCCCTCCGTGCTTTATAAGCGCCGGCTCCAGAAGGGACCTACAGTCTCTTGGAAAAGAAGCTGGCTGCGCGGGCCTCTAGTGCTCTCCCTGTAAGAAAGCAGGATGCATTTTAGAAACTTTAACTACAGTTTTAGCTCCCTGATTGCCTGTGTGGCAAACAGTGAGATCTTCAGCGAAAGTGAAACCAGGGTAAGGCTTCTCACGTAATGTGAGTTTTCAAAGCATTATGCTAATTAGGACTATTAACTGAAATTCGTGTGGGTGTGTGGCTCTCTTGTGGGTTTGGGGGTTTTGAAATAAGTCCATAGTATTTTGAGTCTTGAGAATCAAAAGCTGTTGCTTTAGGAATTAAGATGAGGGAATTTTTAGAGATCTCGGAATTTGAAAGCATCTAGGTTACTGGACCAGCTTCCTAGCAAGGCAGAGTTTGGAAATGGCATGGTTTTCATTCCGAAGGTGTGGGTGGACATTTCCAGGGAGGCCTCTTCTCACGGTGAATAGAAACACCTTTTTACAGCTGGAGTTCAGAAGAATTTGATTTCCTCTTAGGGAATAAATATTCTCAACTTATTGCGTGTTTATAGTAATTATAAGGGTCTGCTTCTAGCTTCCAGATTAGACCAGCTAGAGAAAAAGCGCCTTAGAAAATCATCACACTGGGATAAATAATTTAAATGTGGGATTAATGTGCCTCCTGGGCAGCGGATCTCATTGAGGTAATTACTAATTAATATAATTAGTAATTTTAATCGCTATACTTTTCTTATTCGTTTCGTTAAAATGTCAGATATTTTGTTGATAGCTACCCAGCTATCTGAGTTTTTAATAATATACATAAATGAATATTGTGTATGTTCTGTTTGAGGGATGGTGTTTGTGTTATATGCTTTATACCCAAAGCCATATGGGAACGCGCAAAGGTTTCTTCTCTTTAAAATCAAATTTAACTTCATAATTGTGTACTAGGATTGTGATCTGGGACCATAGTTTGCTTTTTTTTTTTTTTAACTAGATCGTACAGCATATTCTAATGCTATTGAACCACTATAAAAACTAGATTAGAACAAATAAGAGAATGATGCGGTAGGAATGGGGATTTAGCAGAGAATGTGGATTTCTCTGTTCTGATCCTGAGCCCTGAGTTATATTCTAAAATTATTCATCAAAGTCATCTCTCCCAAATTCTGAATCATAACTTCAGAACTACACAGTTGGTCACAGTGCTACTGATGAGGTCATGCGAAATGCCCCATCTAGCGAGACACCCCGGCAGCTCGGCCACCGGAGAGAGGTGGGGAATAGTGGCCTGCGGCCAGCTGAAGTCGCTGTCAGGCGCGTCCTTTCACACGTGCCTCTGCAGAGCCCCTGGTGGGAAAGTCACAGAAGCGGTGGGGCTCAGGGGCAGCTCAGGCTTGTGCGAAAACGAGGCTGGGAGCTGCTGCCCCTCCCGCGACCACCTGCCCCGGCCGCAGCGCCGCTTTCCTGCCGCAGCCGCGGGGGAGCGCTCCGGGGACCAGACCCCCCCTTACCAGCCGCGAATATTCCGGCAGAGGGTCCGCGCGGTGCAGGAGCTATTTCCTGCTCGCCTGCACGTTAGAGGGCACCGTGCTCGGGATCCCGGCGCTCTGCCACCTTTCACACGGGTTCCTACAACCTGTCCCAAGTGTTTAGTTTGGAAAAAGACTCCAACAGCGTCCAAAAGCCCGTGCAATCTTCCTTGAAGTCCCCATTGCCCACCACCCACTCCACCCCTGGCAGGTCTCTCCCCAGAGCTTCTCCCCAATCAGAGCTGGTAATCCCACAGCTGGGCGTTCCGTTCTAGGAGCTCGGGATGTTTCCTACTTTTCACTCTCTCTCATGACATGTGCCTGTCTGTCTTCAAGCCAGTGCAGAAATGGGTCCATTTGCAGTACATTAATTTTAAACCAGCATCATTTTAGAGAGTTAAAAGAAAAAGTAACAGACTAAGATTTTTTTTAAATGGTGGGAATTTTTAAACTACTTCCTTTAAGAATTGCAAGACTTAAGTTCATTGTTCAATTTAAAAAAAAAAAACTGTTTCCTAAATTACCTGCACTTAGCACTTTAAGCCCTAAAGAAATATTTGACATACATAAAATCGCCCTTAGCTAAATGGCAGGATTGGAGTGGGCCAGGATAAGGAAGTTCATAGGAATATCAGGCCTGGGAATAAGGAATTGCCAAACTGAACCTCCTAGGAAAATGCTCATTCTGCTTTAAAAATAATTTTTTTCTCTTATCATAAGAAGTATTTAATTATTGGTATTGTTCTGCTGATTAAGTGAGTTTAGTAAGTCATCTTCTTACCTTCTTATAAAAATCACCTATAATTGTAATTGGCCTAAAAGGGGCTATGTCGGCTAAGGATGTTGCTCAGAAGTAGAGTGTGTGCCTAGAATATGCACCAAAAATACATAAAGAAATGGCAGCATCTCCTTAAGAAGGAAGTTAGGAATTCTTGAAGTGGTTGGTAACTCATTTCTTTACTAAGCAATGTAATGATGTCCTTTAGTCAAAGGTCACATGCAGATAAATTTCAACTCCTTTTATTTTTATTGTTATTTTTCAGGCCAAATTTGAATCCCTCTTTAGGACATATGACAAGGACATCACCTTTCAGTATTTTAAGAGCTTCAAACGTGTCCGAATAAACTTCAGCAATCCCTTGTCTGCAGCTGATGCCAGACTGCAGCTGCATAAGACTGAGTTTCTTGGGAAGGAAATGAAGTTATATTTTGCTCAGGTGAGTCAGGAGTCAGGTGCATTGGCTATGAATGCATCTCTCTTCTCTCTTCCCATCTTTTTTTTTTTTTTTTTGATGGTACTATGAATTGAACCCACACCCCTTTTTTAATTTGGAGATATTTGGAGACAGGGTCTTGCTAAGTTGTTGAGACTGGCCTCCAACATGCTATCCTCCTGCCTCAGCCTCCTGAATCATTGATACTACAGGTGTGTGCCACTGTGCCCTGCTCCTCCCATCCTTTTTTAAGACTATCTATACATTGATGATGTTATATATGGAAAACCCAAGAATTCATCTCAAGAAAGGCAAAATTAATGCTCTGAATTCTCAGTCTTGTACTTATTTTAAGAAGGCAGTAAATTTGAGAACAACCTCAGAAATGACACTTGGCCTTCTGGAGTTGAGTAGCAAGAGAGAAAGCACGCCCCCCCCCCCCCAGCAAGCTTGCAGGTGTGCTCTCGGGACCAGGGCCATTTCCCAGCTCTTCCTGGAATCACACCTGTTTCACCTGGCACTTGGCCTGTCCTTTCACATCTGCCTTCCAGAAGCTGTGACAGGTGCTATTGACACTGCAGATCTTCACTGCAGGGCAATGACCAGTGTTGACTTCTCTCCTCAGACTTTACACATAGGAAGCTCACACCTGGCTCCACCCAATCCAGATAAGCAGTTCCTGATCTCGCCTCCTGCCTCTCCGCCGGTTGGTTGGAAACAAGTGGAAGATGCTACTCCAGTCATAAATTATGATCTTTTATATGCTATCTCCAAGCTTGGGCCAGGTAAGCAGTGCCCTGCAGGCAGGATCAGGGGTGCACAGGAAGAGTTGGCTAAAGACCTACTGCTCACAGGTCAGGGAGGATCCCCATTGGCCCGTTTAGCTCCCTCCAGAGCCAGTGCAAGTGTGCCCTCCCTTTGTGTTCTTCCACATCAATGCCACTTGTGCTATGAGTGTGCATTCCTTGGGAAGGTGTGCAAGAGCCACCATAACTGCTCATTAGTCCTGCGCACCAGGCCCTCGATGGGCACCCTCACCCATGAATCCATCCCCTCGCCCAGGGGCACAGCCTGCATGGCTCATGACCAGGTCTCTCTAGGTGCCAGTGAGCAGTGGAGTTTCGAAAAGGGAAAACTGATTATCCTTATAGAAATTTCAGTTTTAGTCAAGGTAATTTCTCCCTTGATTTCGTTGATCTGATTCTCACTTGACCTTTTTAATGGGTAGCAAAAAGAGAACCGGGGATCATAGTGAAGAAAGAACCTCAGGCTCCTTGTCCATAAAATGGGTCTTACCCAGTGGAGTTGAGGTCATCATCCAACAAAAGACACTCCACAGTGCCTGACCTCAAGTCGGTACTCAATCCGTGGTCTTTGAAAACAGTCAAGTGTGGTGGGTTCCTGTCCTGTGTGCTAGGATTTGGCTGAGTATGCAGAGAGGAGAGGGGGTCTTGGAGGGAAGAAGTGTGAGCTCCCCTTCTGTCCCGCCCTCGGAGCAAACTGGATACATGCTGAGACTGTCAGCTCCTCATTTCTCCTTGACCAGCAATCTGATGTTCCTTTGGGTCAAGGGTTTTATTTTCGTGGACCATCAGCAATTTCATATTGAAAAGATTACATTTCTGAAAACATTGCCCAAATGGAAATTTCCCCTGTGGTATAAAGCAAGAATCACATTACCCACTGCTAATCGTGGCTTGAAGGTCAAGGTCAAAAATGGTCAGTTGGAGGAAGTGTGTGGCCCTCCACAGCAGCTCTTGGTGAGAGGCATTAACAAAGCTGAGAGCTGCATCTATTGGTGTCCTAGAGACAGGAGCAAACGGGATCTCCCCCTGGGGAGAGGTGCCCTCCTGCTCTGGAGGACAGAAGTGCCATGAAGGAAAATTCCTCAGCCTCCAGCATCTACCAGGTCTTTACAGAAGACCATGGAGAAGGCTTTTGCAAACAGACATAATGAAACCAATTTGCCCTTGGTTTACTTAGTGATGGGCTGAATAGTATTTCATATTTGGGCCGTACTTTTCAGGACTGCAGATTTTGCAGTTATAGCCCTAAGTCCCAAGCATTCTGGATTTTGCGGTAGATAGGTAAGGATTTGTAAAGAGGCCAGCACCTCCAGTGACCCGTCTGACGTCCCAGACCTGAATGCTCTGAGGGAGCTGAGGCTTCTTCAGATGTAATGACACTAGCGTCCGGTCTCCAAGAGACAAGGCAGCCCTCCTGTGTGAGAGACAGTGCCTTCCTTGAGGAGAGGCCCATGCAGGGAGGCAGGAGGCTGGGAGCCTCTGAGGAGCTCACAGTGGTGGGTGAGGAGCCTCCTCACTTGCATGGAGCTTCAGAGAAAGTCTGCACGAAGCCTTAGAAGAAAACTCACCCGAGCCACCACAAAGTGGGCGAGCTGAATCCTTAGCTTTTCCACACCTTCTAGCATTGCACCACTAGGGATCAGCCTTCTTCTTTTTTTTTTTTTTTTTTTGCAGTGCTAGGGATTGACCACAGGGTCTATGTGTGCTGGCAGAAGCTTTACCACAGAGCTACATCCCCAGCCACCTCCATTTTTAAACATAATTCTAGGTAAAATTCATCAGGCATGCATATCATGAACCAGGTACCACGGGCTTTGTGGATATTCACTCATGCCATTAGCTCTGTGAGGTTGATGCCTTTGTTGTACCATTTTATAGAGGAAGAAAGAGGTACACAGCAGAGTGAGACAACATGTCTGAAGCCCTGGTACTACAGGCTCGAAGCCCACGTGGCGGCCACACGGTCACACTGCCTCCCATCAGCACCCAGTAGTCAGACTCCCCACAGCCAAGCTGGAGCCCTGAAGGGATGCCCAGCTCCTCCATTCGTGGCCAGGTTCCTCAGTTACAGAAGGCTCTTCCCATCCGTGCTGGACCAGAGTGGTCTGACCTTGAGCCTGGTCAAAGTCAGGCTGGCACAGAACAGCAGAGCATGCTTGGCTCCAGGAGGCCAGCAGTTTTGTAAAAAAGGGATGCCGTGGTCAAGAAGGCAAAAGGAGCACCTGACCCGGTGCAGCTACCTGCGTCTGCACACTCGGCCTCCGCAGGTGTCCCCGTCCTGGGTATGCGCTGCCCTCGGTGGAGGCTCAGGATGTCAGTTCCCACATATGTTTATCCTTCAGCATCTTGTTCCTGAACTGATGTTCCTCACACCACACTTGGGGCCTCGCTGGCAGACAGGGAGCCTCTGGGTAGTTAGTGTAGGGTGCCTGGTGCCATGAGAAGCGTCAACTAAAAATACACATTCCATTTATTCCTGTCCCATGCTGGACTCAGAGTCAGACACACTGGAAATGAGTCTTTTTTTTAACGTAGCACCAAAGAAACGTAAATGCAAAATGTGTCTGTCTGTCTGTCTCAGCCCGTTGAGCGTAGGCAGGAAGCGGCTGGGCAGACCTCAGTGCTACTCCGTTTGTTCCTGTCGTGGCACCCTCCAGGTCTCGTCTGAGTTACCCTGCCATTATTTCTTCCCCAGGAGAGAAGTACGAGCTGCACGCAGCGACCGACACCACCCCCAGTGTGGTGGTCCATGTCTGTGAGAGCGATCAAGAGAACGAGGAAGAGGAGGAGATGGAGAGGATGAAGAGACCCAAACCAAAAATCATCCAGACAAGAAGGCCAGAGTACACACCTATCCACCTGAGCTGAACTGGCACCGGGCGAAGAAGCATGCTCAGTCATACTCACGGGAGGAATCTTTTACTGTGGAAGTGGCCGGTCACAACTTGGGAGGTGGCAGCCGTGACCGCTATGGCAGAAATCCAGTTCATGTTGCTCAGAAGAGAATCAAGGCTTCGTCTCCTTATTCTGATGCTGCACCTCAGTCCACGTCCATGGCACCCAGGAATGTCTTGGGCCAATCACTGAGTTTGTTGTGATCGCACAAGGACATTTGGGGACATCTTGAGAAAACCAATAACGATAGTGTCTTGTACTTGTTCTTTTCTGGTAGGTTCTGTTTTCGCCTAGGGCAGGTTGATCAGTGGGTCCAGGGAGTGCTTTCCGCTTCTAGCCAGTGTACAGGGCTCAATCCCAACTGGTAGGAAGAAGCATCATGCAAAGCCACCAAGTGTCTAGTGCAGAAAGGTTGTGAAAACAACCGCAATGCCATGTGGAATTGTAGCGTCTCATTTCTTCCCTCATGTTCGAATGTCTGTGCATGTTTATTACTGATTTTCAAGACTAACCTTTGTTTGTGTATGAAGTTACGCATTGTTGTTTCACATCCTTTGGGAAGTAGGAAAGCATTGGGAATCTGTCACCTTCCAGATCTTCAGCTCTTTGCATCCACATGTGGAAGTGTACCTGGAAGACCGTCTCTCGGCATCCTATCCAGTGTAGCACGTGACTGTGCTCCTGCAAAAGACGCTGATCTGAATTCCTACGTAGAATAGCTTATACAATTCAGAGAATAGCAGTTTCACTGCCAATTTTTAGCAGGTGAGAAATTTTAGTTTAGGTGTTTGGGTTGGATATCAGTCTCCATTGTTTCTTTATGTAATGGTTTCTAGACAAGAATCATAACCAAAGGTCGCTTTGGGAACTATTGGTTGAGATAGTTGGTTTTTCACCCCACTGAAACATCCAGATAAACTTGTAAATAGAGCTGATAGCATATATCCATACCTGTTGTACTCTTGGGTGAAGAAACGTGGCCGTGGAAGGATAGTGTAAGCTGTATTAACCTACCTGTGAATCGTATGTTGTAGAAAAGCCGTCCACGTGTTTAATGGGATGAACTCAAAGCATGTAAAGTGAGTAGTAGATGTGTGTTGATATGAGAAGGATGCAGTGCCTTTCCCCATAATTCCTGATGGAATTGTTACACTAGGTGAACATTTGTAATTTTTTTCTAGTTGTAATGTGTATGTCTGGTAAATAGGTATTATATTTTGGCCTTACAATACCATAACAGTCTGTCATTCTGAAATACCTAATGCCAAGTAACAGTGCATGCTTTGGAAATTTGGAAGATGGTTTTCTTTGGGAAGCAAATACGTTTGCATTAACTTCTTGGATTGTTCATAACAAGAAATCGATTGAATGTTCTCAAAACCCTGTTTACAGTGCTTGGTAGGAAGGCACCGGTTAGGGAGAGACCATTGCATAGCTGTTCAAGTGTTTCTAGTTAAGTGCTTTTAAACTGGAGAGGCTAACCTCAAAATATTTTTTTTAACTGCATTCTATAATAAATCGGCACAATATGCTCTTTCCGGAAACTTACTTGTTTGTCGTTTGATTTCTAGGATTAATCTGTGAACCCTTTCAGTTCTGCAGCCTCAGAGGACACATTCCTTTGTCACTTTGAACTGAAAAGCTTCTAATTCTGTGCTGTGGTTCAGAGTGTCCACTGTACTGCAGTCCATCACTTAGAAAAGGGCAAATTGGATTAAATAAAAAGCAAAATTCTGAGCATTTTCTTGATACAGAAAATACTGTTTATTAGCCCCTGCTTCAAGCAGTAACTTTTTTTTTCTTTTGCGATGTTGGGGATGGAACCCTAGGGCCTCAGGCATGCCAGGCAAGCACTCCTCCTGAGTTATGTTCCAGCCACCGGGAATGTTTTTAAGCATTAGTTTGATGGGTTTTCTGTTTAGAAGAATGTCCACAGAAAATGCTAACTTATGAAGGCCAGTTATGTCCAGAAGATTCGTCTGCAAGTCTCTGTTTGAAAGAGTTGTGGCCACCTCTTCCCAGAGCTCTTTCCAGAGGGTGGCAAGCTTCCTGGCCAGTCCTCAGAGCCCTCAGTAACCCCGTGTGAGATGGAATCTTTAAAAATGACACTGATCTTGATCCAGATCAACATTAGGTCATTTCACTATGAAAATTCACATCCACTTTGGTTTTCTTTTATAAAGTACACCATCCTGTCCTTTTCCAAGAGCATTTGCATATTTGAGAGCCATTGTGTTCGAAGCTGCTTTCAATGTGCTGAGAAACCCACGTATCAATTCAGTCAGTCTGATCTGATTATCGGACAGATTCACTTACGGATCACCTAGGGACAGGAGGGGAGTATTTCCAAATAGAAATAGTAGAAATATGGGGTGAGGCGATTATTTACCATCATTTTGAACAACTAGGAGCCTGTTACAAGCAGCGAAAGGTGAGCTGTTTGCTGGCCCAGGACCCGAGTTCTTGAACGGCCCTGGAAGGAAGTTGGAATGTGTCATTAGTTCCCTCGGATTCCCAGTGGGTCCCTTACATAACTGGGACAAACACTGGTGACCCCACTGCTGGTGAAACTGACAGACCCTGTGAACATCCTTGGCGTGGACACAGTCTCCTTAGAGGATCGGGCATGTGAGTGTGGCAGCCCCAGCTGGGGTTTTGTACTCAAGAGGACATTAGGTTATGGGCTCTCAGGCTGCTGGATCTGAAAGGCCCCCACGTTAGAGCACACCCAAGGCCCACCAATTTCCTTTTCTGAAAGGGGCTTCGTAAAATGCAGAAAGACGGACATAAAACAGGCAGAATCATGCACAACATACTCTGCCATTGATTGAACACATTTCTTAAAGAGGTTTTGATAGATCATACTACGGAGCTGGTGGGAAGTAACTTAAGGCCATATGAAGCAAGCCCCTGAAAATGTATGGAAGAGTGGATCATGGCCATTCATGTAGCTATTAATACTGGGGCCTAAGCATTGATTTTCAGTCAGCAGGCATTTAGTATCTTACATTGCCAGAATGTCATGTGAGCTCATGCCCACAGGAGATTTGGGCCACCAGAGAGCTTTAATTTTAGGTAAAATGTGCAGAACCCACCAAGAAGTAAATCGATTTTATAGCATATTAAGTTGCGGAGGATTAAACACACCACGTGGGCACGTCACGGGAACACTGAAGGCACAGCTGGAGTTTGTCCTGCTTCCCAGTGTCTGCAGAACTCCGTGGAACGTTTGCCTCGGTGAAATAAGCACATCCCAGGAACATTCACCTAGAGGTCAGCAATTCAGAGGGAAGCCCATCAGAAATTGACATTAACATTACTCAGGACGAAGGCTGCCTATGGGTGACATTCGTTGCGGTTCCCTGGACTTGTGCCTCTGCAGTAGGACATGGAGGGATTTTTTTCCCCAAGTACATTGCTGCACCTGGCAGTCTGTCCTTCGCCCTCATGGTCTCGCCTGCCTCATTTGCTTCAGCTGGCCCTCCCTGCTGCTCGTGAAAGGTCATTTTAATCCTGGCCATGTGTAGGAAAGACAGGGACATTATTTGCAGGTGATTGAGATATGAGGCCTACAGCCAGCGTTTCTTTTCCTTTCAAGATTCTGACGAGGACTTTGATGACTGTTCTACACAGAGCTTAAGTGCCTTGCAGGGGATGGAGCTGCAGTTCACGGATCCCCCTTCCCTGGCCACCAGGACCCCCTCCTGCCAACATTCACACTCCAGACACCCCCAAATGTCAGTGTCTCTGACTCAGCAGACTTTCTCTTCCCTGGGCCTAGAAATGACCCCACTGCCCAGCCTCCCCACTGCCTCTGCCCTGAGTGCAGGCTCCTGTGTGTCCTGCCCACCTCTGCCGGAATCAGGAGCAGTTCTTCCCTGTGCCTGGTGCACGGCCCTCAGTAACTATGACCAAAATAATGAACCGACCCCATATTTGTCCTGCAAATCTCTACGTGAACGTCTCTTCCCCTGAGACTCACTGCCAGCCACTCCTGCAGGGGGTCCCCTCATGCCCATCCTTCTCTACCGTGATGTGCCCATCCTTCTCAGGACCACCTGTGAAGAACGTGCCCACCACGCTGTGAACACCACGGTACGCCTGGGGTGGCGGGGGGCTTCCGAAACAAGAAAGGGACAAGAGAAGGGGCAGCACAGGCCCTTCTCCATCCTCAGCCAGCCCCACGGGCAGGTGCCAGGCTGGCCTTGCTCCCACCCTGGCCAGGTAAGACCTCTTCCACCCTCTGCCACCCACTGGAGCAGATCCCAACGCCCTGCAGACAAGCAGGGCTGGGGGAGAGAGAGAGGAGACTTAGGGAGAGCAGGGCCGCTCGCCCAGTGCCAGGCTCCTCCAGTCTGGACAGAACTGGTCATCAAGGAAGGTGCTGCAGCCTGAGAACGAGTGTCCACTCCCTGGCTGCCCCCAGCCCAGGGCAGCAGCACCCCCTCCTGCCTGTGCTAAGGCCATCTACTGGACCTGAGGAGGGAAACGCAGTGGGGGAAGGAGAGGGGAAGTGGGTGCTGCAGAAGTTTGCGGTTCTGTGGAGAGCGGCAGAGGACACTGCGCCAGAGAAGGAGATTTTTGAGTAAAGGCCTGAAAGAGAGGAGGGAGAAACCCTGGAGGACTGTGGGCGTCTAGGAAGAGGGCATCCCAGGCAGAGGGGAACCCAGGAAGCCATCAGGCATGGAGGGCGGTGCCTAGCACGGTCCCACTAGGAGGCCAAGCTGGCAGGTGCAGGAGGGCTGGGAAGTGAAGCCTGGAGGTGACATCCAGGCATGCGGGGTGTATGGGAGAAGGCAAGGGGCCCACCGGTGACCTGAAGAGCTTTCAGGCCTTCCCGGGCTCTGCAGGACTGCTGCTGGATCCCCTGAGTTGGAGGGGACAAGGTTGGTGGGAAAGATGTGAGTTTAGGTTCTGGGATTGTGATGGACACAATGCTAAATGGCCCCTTAGATCCCCACCCTCCAGGCCTGGGGTGGACAGCCCCTGTGTAACCCTCTGCCTCTGAGTGTGTGCAGAACCTCTGACTGCAGTGAAGGTGACAGCACTCGGCATTGTGTCCTTTCTATGGCAAAAGGGACTTTGCAGATGTGATTAAGATCTGGAACCAGTAGACTTTGAGTTCATTAGAAGGAAGATTGCATCGGGGTGGGCCTGGCCTAATCAGGCACACTGTGAAAGAGGACCAGAGCAGCAGCAGGTGTCCTCTGCTCACTGAAAGGAAGCAGTCACAGGGATGATGGAGGGGCCCTGTGGCAAGCAAGAAAGGGCCTGGGGGTGACCTCTAGGAACTAAGAACAGTCCAGCCAGCAGGAACAGAGCACCTCAGTCCTACAACCATAAGAAATGAATTCCAACAACTATGTGAGTTTGAAAAAGGAACCTGAACCTCAGTCTAGACTGCAGGTCTGGCTGCTCCCTTGATTTCAGTCTGATGAGACCCTGAACAGAGGAACCATCCAACCCACAGGAACTGAAATGGTAAATCTGAAAACTAATAGAAAGTCTGCTGTAGCAATAGAAAACTAATATAGAATCATCATTTCAAAAGGGCAGTGGCCTCTCATCCAGGCCAGGCTCACAGGGACACAAGGCCAGCCCAAGACCTACACCCCTGGAGCAGAGTAGAATTTATAGCAGTTTCTTTCCTAAGCAACTTTGCAAAAAGACACAGCTAATTTATTTTTTGAAAATGGCAGGACACGCCCGATAAAGCATTGTCGTAAGCGTGCAAACAGAAGTCGTCAGGATTTTAAACATCAAGCTTCCCATAGTTACTTGACCTAGAAAAGGGGGAGCACAGATAACATCAAACAGACTATGGAAATATTTCAGTATTTCACTCAATACTCATTCAGCAAGTGTCCCTTGAGCACCCAGATGTGCCAGGCACCAATCCCAGAGTTGGCAATAGGGCTCTATGGAGAGTCAACTCAGGAGGTCACCAGTCTAAAACCAAGGGGTCGGCAGGGCTGCGTTCCTTCTGTAAGTTCAAGGGCAGAATCGGCTTCCCTGCCCTTTTCAGCATCTAGAAGACACCACCGTCCTGGGCTCTGGCCTTGCATTACCCCGACCCTCACTTCAGGTGTCTATTTTAATCACCCTCTAGTCACCCTGTTGGGAATGGAGGAACCCCTGCCCTGTGATTCTGGGAAGCTGAACAGATAACAAGCAACTCTGGTGAGATCAGCAGCAGTTTATTAGCCACAGACTCCCGGCCTGGGGGAGGAAGGGGAGGAAGAACACCACACACCACGTAGGGCCACATGGGTATGGTCCCCCAGACAGACTGGCCCAGCAGGGACTTTGAGAATCAGGCTATCCTAGTCCATTCCCGCTGCTATAACAAAACAGCCGAGACTGAGTAATTGATTAAGAAGTCAAATTTATTTTCTCAGAGAACCAGGAAGTGGAAGGACAAAGCACCAGCAGGCGTGGGGTCTGGTGAGGGCTGCCTTCTGCTTCCACCATGGCGCCTCTTGCTTGTCTTTCATGGGGGGAGGGGCACCACGTCTTCACGTGGCAGATGGCCAGGAGTGCTGAACACTGGGTGATGCCTGTTGTCAGGACCTTAACCCCATCCAGGCAGGGATTCCTCATGACCTGATCACCTCTTAAAGGCACCCCCTCTTCATGCCATCACATTAGTTCCAACATCTGAATTTTGGGTACATGCAAACCATACCAGCTCCTCCTCCTCCAGCTAGCCCACTGGGCCCCAGGTTCTGACATGGGCAGATTTCAAATCGCAGCACAGTCTTCATAGTTTTGAGGAGGGGGATGACCTTTGGCTCTGGAGAGAATGTGACTAACAAGTTCAAAACTCCATGCTCTGGGAGGGAACTGAAACACACCGCTCAGGAATGAGCAGGAACGGATCCTGTCTGTGGGTTGAGGGGTGTGGTTCAGCTGAAGGACCTTACTCACGGGAGCAAGCGGTGAGGGGGACTTGCAGTCAGGCCATCAGAGGCTGTTACAATTTTCCCCCATGTGCAGGCAGCACACGATGCTGCGTCTTATGCCTTAAACCACTCTCACATCTCCTACCGGTGTTAATCCTCCCACTTGTCTCTCATAAGGTCACTCAATGAACACTGAGCCCACCCAGATAACCCAAGATAATCTCCTCATCCCCCGATCCTTATCGTAAAGCCCCTTTCACTATGTAAAGTCACACATTCACAGGTTCCCAGGATTAGGACATGATGATCTTTGGAGGGACCTTATTCAGCCCACCACACAGGTTGCCGGGACGGTGCGTGACTTTAGATGGCACCCAGGGAAGAACTCTGAGTGACTGTAGAGTTCAGCTATTTGAAAACACCAACAAGCCTCTTAGAAGAAACAGCCATGCGTACTCCTGGGGAGGGGAGAAAGCTTGGCGTGCTTGCAGAACAGGAAGGAAGTGGTACCAGCCGAGCTCACCATGAGAGAAGCAGGCAAGGCCAACACAGGTGCCCAGGCCAGGGGGAGGCGGGGTGTTACCCCCCCTGCATGAGAAGGTAGGGGAGGGTCTTAAGCTTGGGAAGAGCGTGGCCCAATTCATGTTTTTATGACCATTCTCACTGCCATATGGGCACTGGGCACACGAGGACAAGACTGGAGCCCAGGAAGACAGTTTGGAGAACCTTGCTGAAGCCAGGGAGGGGTGATGGGAATAGGCTAAGAAGATGGAGACGGTGAAAAGTCTGAGTCGGGACAGGTCTGAGGGGTGATTAATTATCACAGATCATCTGGGTGGGCTCAATGTGATCCCAAGGGTCCTTATATATTGGGCTGTTTGTGTATATATTGGAGTTGGGGGAAGGTTGTCACAGTTAAAAAAAAAAGAGGCTGGGCATCAAAAATGACTACTTAGTATTTGACTTAAACACAGGATGAATGATAGCATCATTAACCCAAATGCAGAAGACTAACAAATTATCCCAGAAATCAGCGACTTAAAACAATCTACATTTCTTATCTCATGGTGTCTGTGAGTCAAGAATTTGGCACAGTTTACTTGAAAATCTCTTGTGTGACTGCAATCAAGGTGCAGGCCTTGGGTCTCTCACAGGCTGGACTGATAGTAGTGACCAGGACGATGGTCATTGCAGGGTTGTGATGGTTAATTTGAATTGTCAACTTGATTGGATTAAGAGATGCCAAGGATTAAGGGGCTTATGGGGATGTCATGAGGGTGTGTCTAGGAATGATTGGCATGTGGGATAGCCAACTGAAATGGAGATCCTCCCTAAGCCTGGGCAGCACCATCCAATAGGATTATGGCTTGGATGGAATAAAAGTTGGAAGAACAAGGAAGCAGCAGCAGATGCAAACTCGATTCTTCTTGAACGTGTTCTTGTTTGCTGCTACAATCATCTGAGGATATCAGACTTGACAGTGATTTTCCAGAGGCCTTCGGTCTCACACTAGGGTAGCAACATTGATCCCTCTTATTCTGGAGCTTTAGCCTCTTGAACTATGCAGCTACTGGTTCTTCCGGCTCTCCAGCCAGCAGATGGCCACTGTGGACTATCCAACTTCCAGTTGAGTAAACCAACTTAATAAGTCCCCTTTTTATAATTCTGCTTCCTGTGAATTCTGTTCCTCTAGAGAACCCTGACTAATACAAGGGTCCAAGTGAGGCAGGAGCCCTCTGGTAGGTGGAGGGCACCCTCTGTTCCTTGTCAGATGGCCGTCTTCAGAAGGACCAGAGAATACTAGCAAGGTGTAAGTCACAATTCTTGGTAATCAAATTATAGAAGCAACTCTATCACATGTTCTGCCAACACCGTCTCTTCACTCACAGCAACTCACAAGTGCACACTCCAGGGGAGGGAGTTGTGTCTATGTGCCTGATATACACAAAGGCATGGATATCAGAAGTCCAGGATCACTGGACCCATGGCAGGAGCTGCTGATCATAGAGGGGCCTGACTTGGACCATGCAAAGTTGGAAATGGCTCTTGACATAGTGGACAGAAGGACCTATTTGTATTAAGTTCCAAAGAGATCTGAGCTGGAGAAATAAATCTAGGGATCACCAACATGCAGGTGGAGTCAACACTACATGACTGGAAAGTTCCACACTCCAAGCAAGGGCTCCCAGGGGCCAAGCTGAACTCTGGGCCAAGCCCTAACCCTCCCAGGACCCACTTGCTTGGTCTCTGCAACAGAGCTGGGAAGAAGAGGAGCTCCAGGAGGGAAAGCTACACTGAGCCAATTCCTCTGCTCCAGGCTGGAGAGGGTTTCCCTCCACTTACAATGACAAGGATGTCCTCACCTCTCAGTGAGAACTGAGGGACTTTTAATGATTTCATTAATTTCTTTCACAGCCTGGAGAGCCAGTAAATTGTGGAAAATGTCACCAGCAGCTGCATTTTGGAAAAACACTGTATGAGTTGCATAAAGTGTCTTTGAAACAGATAAACTTAAAAGACTTCTTTCTTCCTTGAGGCTTCTTTCTACGTTTTCTCACACAGGAGCTGGTGCCTGGTGAGCGGGTGGCTGCAAGAGCACTGTAGCACAAAGGTACAGCTTGCCTTTATGATGCCAGGCACTTGGCTAAAACTGTCCTGTAGCTTCATGTCCCATTTAATCTGCATACCAACTCCATCAGATAGTGTTCTCCCCCACAATTTTACCTTTGGGAAAAAATGAGGCATGGGATTAAAGTAACTTGCTGCAGGTTGCAGAGCCAGGAAGTGACAGAGATAAAATTTCAGACCACATTAATCTGACTCCAGGGCTCTTACTCCCATCCCACCCTGCAGCCTCTCTAGCACTGATGGTTGTGGCTGTCACTGTGCAAAGATGGTGCTCAAAGAGCCAAACCTGCCAGCATTCATGCTCTGGTGAGTCTACTGCCACGGTGAGTCTGGGTTGGCTCTGAGCCTCCACTTACCCAGCAGATGGTTGTAGAAGTGACAGTCCCTTTCTGGGCCTGAGAAAGGCTGGTGGGCTCTGTTTCTGTAGTTCTGCATCCAGCCGTAAGAAGTCCGACCATGTTGCCTTGGGTGTTACGTTTTCCACACATGAATTTGAGGGGACTCATTTGAACCTTGATATCATCCATATTTCCTGGTCTCAGTGATAAGCACCCCATCCATTCAGTGACTCCAGCTACAGTCATGAAGGTATTTTGTCCCCCACTCAGTTACTTACCCATACTGGTCTGTGGGGAACAGTGACTTGGCTCAGCACCTCTGACTTCCCAGGAGCCTGCACTGGGAACTTCCTGTGGAAAGGTGCAGCTCAAGATTGCCCAGTTGCTATGGTGACACCTTGCTTAAAGAAGTTCTGTGCAAGGCACAGGGGACGATCAGTCTTGACCCTGAGGTCAGACGCCAGCTGCCAGGGGTAGAGAATTATGAGCTCAAAAAGATAATCATAATTGGCTGCCAGTACTCCACCCTTCAGCCTGCCTGCTTTGCAGAAACTTTCTCACAGAAAACCTTTTTGATGATAAAAACGTATATAATAAATGTGGCAAGCCAGCTCTGGGTCATTGTTCCTCCACCAGAGGACCGTGTCCCACTGGTCCCAGCTTTGTCTATGTTTGTCTGTTTGTCTTTTCTAATCCCCCATCACCCCTCGATGGTTCCTGAATTAAAGGTACAGGTGGCGGCACTGATCAATCTCTCTTCTGTCTTTAGGACGCGCCCTCTATGCTCCAGAGCTACTTCATGAATTCAGCCCCTCATCATTTCCCACCTTCTTAGAAGCGAAACCTCTCCATCGTCCTCCAGTGGGCCCTCGAAGTGTCGAGTGTATGTATGTCTGATCATACTCAATGGCCAAGGTGGGTCTCCTAACGTGCACCCATGACCCAGGGGAGCCACTTCTCGCCTCCCAGGGAGACGGCAGGCACAAGGGGCCATCTGAACTTCTCTGGGGACGCCCTGCTTCCCTGGCTCATGTCTTCTCCTGCCACGCCGAGGTCCTTCTTGTCCTTTGGGGACCTTTGTTGGACCCCTGCCAGTCCCTTCTCCACGTCCCTCTCTGGGTTCCAGTGAAGCTATTGCCCCCTCACCCTCTCACCTGAACAGCTCTCCTGCACCGCTCTCCACCCTTGGCCGAGGTGTCCACCTTACTGGTCTCCGATTGCTCATCCCCTAGAAGAATGCTGGGAATGGAAGAGCAGCTCAATGAATAACTGTGGGACGAATCCTTCCACTCAATTCCTTTTCTTTAACTCTTTATAAACACAGATCTCCCCAAACACCACTGGGCGGCACTGGGTCTGTGTGGGTGGCGGGACCTAAGGCGAAGCAGGTGAGACACATAAATATTTTCCGTGGTGGCGACGAGTCCAAACATGGAAACCCAAGCCTGGCTTTCCCCCAGTGCTGTCGGGACCAGCTGCTTCTCACCCTCTGGGCCCCCGGCTCTGTTCATGGTGTAATCTGCCCAATCTAGAGGGTCCGTGGGGTTGAGCTGAAGCAGGAAATCTAAGTGGCGAGAAAACATCTGAAAGAGATGATAAACATAGAAACCTAGCAAATCTAGGTTTCTAGAAAAATCTAAAACCTAGCAATTTTAGGAAAGGTTGTTCCTTGAGATCTGTAGGTCCCAGTTGGAAGAGCAGGGACAGAGGGAACATTTATGAGTACTGACCTGCTATACAGAACCACTGTGGCCACATGATCCTGAATGCACAAAGGTAATTCATTCCTCAAGGATTTCCTGTAGGGACCCAAGAACAAAATAATCCCCTAACAGAGCATTTGACATACAAGCACTTCTACCAACTACCTGGAAAAGGTTTATATGCTGAAATCACTTCTAGACAATCCTCTATAAAATAGACTGCTGTTAAAAAACCTTTGAGAACTCTCTGCCTTGCTGTATGATTCAAGCAGTAGCATGCACTTCAGAAGTTCCAGAAACTTGTGGAGTTGAAAACTCTGAGTGTCTTAGAGATGGGGACGACAGGAGAAGATGCCCCAAGCCTAGTCTTTCTCGGGGATTTAGTCTGCTCTGGCCCTTCTTGAGCTGCAGTAACCAGCAAGGACATCGGCATTCCCCTGCCTCACTTTGTTTCAGGTGAAGATTGCAGCGGACAAATCTGCACGGACCCCTCAGGACTTGGGGATGAAGCGAGCGCAGGTAGACAAGTCTCTCAGCTCCTAGGGATGTGGTGGGGACTAAAGGGCCTTTGTTTGCAACCTCAGTGTCTAACGGATGTGCCTGGGTCCCTGAGGCCAGGTAAGATGGCTCAAGCCCCCAGTGCAGGCCTTTTGAGAGACCTAAAGCTTGGCGCCATGACCACGGATTCCTACCCCACACTTTCCCCAACGGCCTCTGCCTCTTTGGGCTTCCACCGCCACAGTTGCCCATCATCCATTCTTATGTGAAATTAAAAGAAAGGGGAGAGAATCTTTGGCTTTTTTTTCTTTATTCTTAATGGTTTTGCTGAGATCAAATGCACATAAACACAATTTGCTCATTCAATGTGTGGACTTCAATGGTTTTTGGCATAGTCACAGAAATGCCCAACCATCATCACCACAGTTGATTTTGGAACACTGTCATCACCTCCAAAACAAACTCTGAATACTAACACCCAGAGTAGCCATCACCCCCTGTCTTCAGCCCCCCTCCAACTTTACCAGCCCACCCCTAAGCTACTGCCATTCTGCTTTCCATCTACAGAATTCCCTATTCTGGACTTTCAGAATGGGATCATATAACATGTGATCTTTGGTGACTGATGACTTTTCACTCAAGCTAACATTTCCAAGGCTCATCCACGTCATAGTTAATGCTTCTCATCATGTCTTATGATTGAATAATAGTCCTCTGAATGCTTATGCCACATTATGTCCATCTATTCACCTGTGGATGAACATGTGGGTTGTTTCCATAAAATGTTAATCATTCTATTTTGAATAATGAACACTTGTGTCTGTGTAAACATGTTTTCATTTCTCTCGGGTGCACACCTATGATCGGAAGTACAGGTAAAGTGGACACTTCCTGTTTGGTCACTTGAAGAGCCACTGGAATGTTGTCCACAGCAGCTGCACCACTTTGCATTCCCTCCAATGGTGCTTGAGGGTTCCCACTTCTCCCCGTCCCCGTCAGCACTTGCTGTGATCCCACTTTCTTTCTGGCCTTCTTAGTGTGCAGTGGTGTTTCCGTGTGGTTTGGATTTGCATCCCCCGGTGACGAAAGATGCCAAGCATCTTCCTCTGCACCGACTGGGCATGTGTTTGGGTTTGAGAGGAAGGGTCTCATCTTGCAGAACATTCTACCACCTCCTCCGGCTCCTCCTCTACCTTCCTAAATCCCTCAGACACACACTTAGGGCCCAACTCTTCTACTCCCCTACACGGGGTAGCTCCCCCTTCCTCTGAAGGCCCCATGCCAGTCAACACAAGGGCTCAGGAGCTTGGGTAGGCTTACCTGGCCAGGGCAGAACTTTTCACACCTGCTTAGGGGAGAATTCCTCCATCCTCTCAGATCCGTGCAAGGAGCCTGGGAGGGGGGCTGACTGGTGGGGATCTGGGTGAGTGTATTTACTGTTTGGGTGCTGCCAGTTCATAAGGTAAGGTGCTCTTCTAGAAATTCAGAGGGAAGGAAAGCATTTGGTAGCAGACATTGAAATTCTAGACCCCAAATAGCCTACTTTTCCTAAGAACCTATTGCCCATAAAGTAAAACAGGTGGTTTTCTAAAGAGGAGGAGGAGCTCCTGGAAGGTGAGACTTGCCTGCCCCTGATGGTAACCATGGTGACGTTTGTACGGCTAGGTCAGACATTCTAGAGCGGTGCTTGTTAATGGAGCCATTGTGGCTTAATAAGGACTCTTGTGACCTCTGATCCTGTGTCATTTCCGCCCCTGGCTGAGTTCCAGGCTCCGGCTGGTGCCCCAGCCTCTCACTGCATTTCACATGTGTCAGTGCAGAACAATGGACAGCGGGTCCTCAGTGCTCTCTTGTTGACTGATGGAGGGACCCACAGGTCAGAACTTCAGGCAGAGTCAGGTGAGTGAATGCGGGGGAGGGGGGGATGCACTGTCCTGTTACAGCACCAGGTAGGCAAAAGAGAGAATGACAGCAAGTACCCCCAGGTAAGTCCACACCCATGGGAAGGACGTCGTGTGTCCTGGGATGAAAGATCATTTTTTTTCCTGAATTTTGGTGCCAAGAGACGAAAAACTAACAAGCTGGGTAACTGGCAGATGGGCTAGTGATCTTCAGATCCGTTTGTTGGACTCCTGAATTCGTTCCCCCACTCACCCATTTGTTCTCTGAGCAGTTACCGACAGTGAAATTGTCTGCAGTCCTGGGACGTGGTTGATTAGTCTTTATGATGCAGCCAGCACTGAATACAAGAGGAGCCAAAGGGAAAGACTGGGCAGTTCTTCCCGAGAGCGTTCAAGCCAGGCTCCATTAGCCAGGTGATGGTCACAGAAAGGCAGGGGTCTGCCCACAGCAACCAAAAAGGAAAAGCTGTTGGCCTCAGAGCAAAGGCTTCTGGAAATGGTTTTCAAGTCCTCTGTCCCCCATTTCCATGGCATCCGCAGGAATATTGATTCCTACTCTTAAGATTTGCTTCTTCCAGTCCATATCCATAGGCTGGTGACAACATCAGGTTCAAAACCCAATTAAAAATGTGGGGATGGCCCAGGGCTTACAGATGCTCTGGGCTATTATGGAGCACACTGTTTCTGCAGTCCAGAACCCAGCTGAGGAGGACCCTGACCAGAGAGTGGCAGATGCCATCCTCACTTGCAGAAGTCATAGACCATCCAACTACAGAGCAGGGGCCGATTAGGGGTGAGGTCACAGTTCAACCATGGGTTCTCGCGACTGGGATGGTTCCTGGGTGCCGGCATGGGGCCCGTGGACCTAGAGCCTTCTTCTCTCTACCGACTCTTACACCCCAAGGCTCTCTGGTTCTTTAGTACTCCCATAGACTCACCAGCCACCCCCTCTTGGACCCAGAGACTACACACCTTCTCCTCCACCTCCATTCTGGCCCTTGGGGTCCTGAAACTCTATCCATAGGCCCTGAAACCAATAGGAATGACCTCATCCTCTTTCTCAGACAATTGAGCATTCACTCCTAGGAAAATAACAAGGGTTGAGACGGGGGATGGACGTGTCTTCCTATATCAATGGGTCCCTGTCCCCATCTGCCTGAAACCCGCTCTCCATTCCCAGTGCAGCTTGGGCAGCATGCCTCAAGTTCTTCTTGGGAGTTGTCTCATCTTCTGCCTGGAGCAGACGGCCTCTGTGTTGGAGGATGTGGAGGTCCTGTGTGTCTTAAGTTTTCCTTTGGGCAATAACTCATTACAGTCGAAACCTTGACTTTCCTGGCCCCTCTTCTATACTGAGTATATAAGTAGAGTCCCTGGTTCCCCTTCCATGAGATGCAGGTTGGCTCCAGGGCCCACTCTTTTTTGACTTATTGACAGTTCAACTTGCGCACTCCAGACTTGACGTCATACACATACCCGAGCCCACCTTTGCTGAAGCAGGAGTTGGTGCTGGCAGCCAGGACAAGTCCTATAGCTCTGGGACAAGAGTGGATGAGTCTTGCATGATGTTCCCCAACGTCTTGCCTCCCTCATCTACTACAAATCAGTAGTTGGCAGCCCACACAAGAGACAGGAGTTTATCAGGTGTCCATCAATGAGGACTGGTTGCATGAATCCTGGTATATCCACATAATGAAGTGCTAGGCAGCCATGAAAAGAAGACAGAATATTCTCCACTAATGGATATGGAGTGATATTCATGATGTATTGTTAGTAGGGGAAAAACAGATATGGACAGGGTATATGCAATGCTGAATTGTGAAAAATAAAAATATATATTTGTGTGTGCAAATACACATTTGCTTTTTTACTTTAAAGAAATATGACAAGGTAGCCAAAAAAAAAACCTGCAAACTATAAGGTGGGTGGGAATGGTATAAGATAGTACTGAATGCAAGAGTTCTCTGACTATACTTTTCAAAGATAGCTTTGAAGCCAAGCATGGTAGCTTGCACCTGAAGCTATTTTGGAGGCTGAGGCAGAAGGACTGCTTGAACCCAGGAGTTAGAGGCCAGTCTGGGCAATATAGTGAGACTTTATCTACAAACAAAGTTTTGGCTTTTGAACCATGTAAACGTTTTACATTTGAGAAAATAAATGAAATTTTAAAAGATGAGATACATCATCTCCACATTGCACATCCAAATAAATTAACCCAACTACACATCAAATTCATAACACAATCACATGGCAAAAGGGAACTGTTGAACGTGGTACTCAGGCTGTTCATCTTAGTAGGGCACCGTCTGTGCCAAAGAGTATTACAAGGAAACTTTGCACTTATTGGGCTTTTTGTTAATAAAGTTATTGTTGCCCTTTTGAGACTTCTGTGTGAATACTGTTGGATAAAACAAAAAAGTATACACAGTTGACCCCCAGTATTCATGGGGACTGGGCTCCAGGACCTCTCAAGGATACCAAAACCTGTGAATTTTTACATAAAACAGCACAGTATCTGCATCTAACCTTCTCCCATTCTCCCGTATACTTTGAATACTTGTGACACCTAACATACATTATTTGTAAATAGTTGCTATAGTGTACTGTTTAGAGAATATGGATAAGAAGAATGTCTATACATGTTTTTTTTCCTCTAATATTTTCCAATTGTGGCTGGTTGAATCCATGGATATGGAACTCAAAGGTCCAGAGCACCAACTATATATATATTTGAAGGTTCAAAGAACCATAATTTTCTCTGAGAGAACAAACAGATACAAGTTTTAAATAACATATAGTGACAATAAAAACTTGGAGCTAGGCATGGTGGTGCCTAGTAGACTCTTGGGAGGTTGAGACCGGAGGATCACAAATTCTAAGCCAGCCTCAGCAACTTAGCGAAGCTGTAAGCAACTTAGTGAGATCCTGTCTCAAAATTTTAAAAAGGGCGGGGGCTCGGGATGTAACTCAGTGGTTAAGTGGGTTCAATCCTTGGTACCCCCCAAAACTGGTAATGTCACATTTGAGTTAGAAACAGTGTGACTTTATAAGTATAGGTACACATGTGTGTGCAAGCCTCATGTCCCAAACTTATGTTTAAGCACCAGTCCCCAAGCCAAAGAGTCCCAAGAACAAGAACGAGGCCTCTGAGGGTGATGCTGATTCCAAGCCAGAAGTGGGGGATGCACAGGAAGAGCCCAGGCAGGATGCCCCATAGCACCAGAACCAGGGACGTGCTCAAAGACTCCTGGGATTATGTCAAAGGCACTCTGGGTTAAAAGGGCACCAGTGGCCAAGTTGAGAAAACAGAAGGACAAAGTGTCATACAACAGATTACCGACTCATTTCAAGGGGAGTGAACGTACCTTCCCTGTGAGAGATGGGCGATCATCACCTCCATGGAGGGATCAGAGAGCGGTGCCTGCAGGGACAGCCTGGCATGGTGTGTCCCCAGCCCCATGTGATCCAATAGGACCACCATGAGGGATCCTTAACCCAAGTCCACTCCAGCCTCCAGACCCACATCCAGTTCAGGAAATACAGGGGACAGCAGAACAAGCCAACGAGACCCCGGCAAGGCCGCCTGACAAAGCCAGGATGTGGGACATTCATAGCAAGGCAAGAAGCCCAACTCCAGAGATGACCACAAATTCACGACAATGGAAGACTTCCGCGAGGCTCACTGGATGGAGGAACTCACCTCCAGCTGCAGCGGAGTCTCTGTTCTGTGTTAGTTGAGCCCAGTACTCTCCGGTCACCAGAAAGGCTGATCATGTTGCACAGCTCTCTCGGTCCCAAAGACCAAGATCTCCAGTCTTCTTCCCAGTTCTCACCAGGCAAGTTAGTCCTCTTGAAAGGTAGGAAGGTCTCACCAGAAACCACTGGTTCTGGTCTAGAGGGGCTTATATTTTGACGAGGCAACCTGTGCCAAAATTGACAACTTGGACAAGCACCATCGTCTCTGCCCCAGGGCTGAGGGCACCAGCGTGCTGCAGCCCATCTCCAGAGCCTGGGGTCTCCCTCCAGACAGACAGACACTTAGAAGTGGCCCTGGGGCTCTCAGGCATACATCCTCATCAGGGACCTGGGGTGCTGCCAGGATGTACTAAGACCAGCTGCCTCGAGGGGAAATAATTAAAATATGCCATTCCAGAAGACTTGTTCAAAAACATAGAAAAGGAAAAAAGGATCCATCCATCAATTTGTCTCTCAGATGTATTCAATTGAAGCATTTGTCCTTGGACATTGATACACAGTAAAAAGAAACATCGTATTAGTCAAAACATTATTTAATGAAGATAAATTGTTCCGATACAGATAATTAAAAGGAATTGAAAATACCATTTCCTGATCCATCATGCCACGTACATTGGGCCAAGTATGAGTCCAACATATTACAGCAAACTTTTCTCAAGGTCTTCCACTTGGCTACAGCTCTGTCCCAATACAATCTAAAGCGATACATATGCATGCCGAGAGGTGACATGAAACAGAAGTGGGATTCCTGTGGCTCACCTGAGGACACTGGAAATCAAGAGCAGATTGAAAGATATCATCACTCAGCCCACAGATCAGCGTGGACAGTGGAACCAGGCTGAACTGTGTGTCTCAAAACGGGCAACAAAGTTTGGGAAGATTGGTCACCAACGATTTCCAAAGAACCAATAACTTCTTGATGGGTAGTATCAACGATACCAAAACCCCTTATTTCCCTCCCCGGAGCTAGACAGCTATGATCCTTTACAACAGATTTGCTAAGGAAAGAATCTCTGACACAACCAAGTGAGTCTGGCCAAACCCCACCAAAAAAATCTAAGGGGAAAAGAGTTTTATTATTATGTAAGCATTAGACTGCAAAATCTTATCAAAGGCAATTCGCTAAATAGAATGCAAAAACAGAAAAATGGATCACCCTCTCATATAGTCACACAGACACAATTTATTACCTACACGTGAATTAATTACCTTTATCAAAGGAAAAAAAGAAACCTTTCTCCTATC